CAGCAGCAGCAGCAGAAGTGCTGGTGAGATTCGTAACCGCTGCTACAAGAACCAAAATTGCTGCTGCCAGCTGCCTGCTTCTGTTGCTTGTTGTGTGCTGGTTGTGCGCAATACTGCTGCTGCGACTACTGCTGCTGCTGCTGCTGCTGCTGCCGTTCCGTCCGCTGCTGCTGCTTGTTGCTGCTGCCGGCGCTGCTGTTGTTGCCGCCGGTACGTGAATGTTATTGCAGCAAGTCTCTCCTCTGCTGCTGCAGCTGCTTCTGCTGCTTTTGCTTGCGGTACTCTAGCTGCTCATTAGGCTACAACAGCTGCCGCCTTTCATGCTGCTGCTCCCGCGACTCTGCTGCGGCTGCTGCGGCTGCTCCTGCTGCTCCTGCTACTGCTAACACTCCCACTCGTGCTGCTGCTACTAAACTCCTACTCCTACTCCTGCTGCTACTGCTCCTGCCTGCTTTCCTCTGCTTCTGCTTTCTCTGCTGCTGCTGCTTCATCTGCTGCTGCTGCTGCTGCTGCTGCTGCTGCTGACCTGCAGCTGCCCCTCGGCCAGGCGAAAGGCCAGGGCCGCGAGGACGTAGTGGCTGCGCTGGCCCCAGCCCACGGGGGCTTCGCCGCCGTTTGGCCGCAGCGCGACGACGGCGCCGCTGGCTGAGGGCGCGGCCCAGCAGAGGGGGAAGAGTTCGCTGAAGCTGGCGGCGTCCACGCCTTCGCACTCCAGGTCCAGCAGCTGCAGCAGCAGCAGCAGCAGCAGCAGCAGCAGCAGCAGCAGCAGCAGCAGCGGTAGCAGCAGCGGGGGTGCGGCGGCAGAGGCAGCGCAGGCAGAGGCGGCGATGCCGCACACGTAGACAGCGCAGCAGCAGAGCACCCCGTGATCCCCAACCTCCTGCAGCTCCTCGGAAACCCTAAATCCTAAACCCCAAACCCTAAACCCCAAACCCTAAACCCCAAACCCTAAACCCCAAACGCTAAACTCCAACCCTAAACCCCAAATTTCGAAACGCAAACCCCAAACCCGAAACCCGAAACTCCAAACTCCAACCGCAAACCCCCAGCCAACGCCTAAACCCTAAACCCTAAACCCTAAACCCTAAACCCTAAACCCTAGAGCGTGCGGACTTTGCGGAGAATGTGGACTGCGAGGGCGTCCGTGGCCTCGAGGTCCCGCACTTCCGGCTGCAGCGCCACCAGCCGCTTCCACACCAGCAGCGGCAAGTCCAGCCCGAGGCTGAGCCGCCCCCGCAGCACAACTCCCATGAGCCGCCCCAGCACGCGGTAGGCCCCCAGGCTGGCAGCAGACACGGCCCCCGGGTTCAGCAGCCACATGTCCTGCGCAGCAGCAGCAGCAGCAGCAGCAGCAGCAGCAGCGGCAGCGGCAGCGGCAGCGGGAGAAGCGGGCGGAGGGGGTTGGGAGGGGAGGCGGTGGAACGCGCGGGGTAGATGCGTGCAGGGGCAGCGGCAAGAGTCACAACTACCCGCTGGCAGCAGCAGCAAGGAAAGCAGCAGCAGCAAGGAAAACACACGCGGAGCAGCAGCAGCAAAGGAAACTGCAGCAGCTCGGACAGCAAAAACCCGGCACCAGCAACGGCAACAGCGGCAACTGAAGAAGCAGCACAACGAACACTAGAGACGCAGCACCAGCTGCAGCGACTAAGAAAGAAGCAGCAGCAGCATCGGCTGCACGAACTCAGCAGCAGCAGCAGCAGCAGCAGAACCAAAGCAGGTGCACGGATAACACAGACGCAGGCCCATCATGATCATTATCAGCAGCAGCAGCAGCAGCAGGGGTACCTGGTCCTCGCCGAAGCCCCTGCTGTTGGGCGAGGGAAGGAGGAGGCCGTTGCTGCTGCCGGTGGTTTGGAGTTCAGCAGCAATGTGGGAAAAAAGGTCCCTGTAAAGGCCCCCTGCGTCAATGCCGCCTTCGCCTTCATAAGCCACAAACCAGACTCTGGTGCTGCGGCGCAGCAGCCAGGGAGGCACTGCTTCGAGCTGGCTGGCGAGCTGCATGGTGACGTCTTTGAGGCCGCTGCTGCTGCTGCTGCTGCTGCTGCTGCTGCCCGCTGCTGCTGCTGCTGCTGCTGCAGGCGCTGCTGCTGCAGCGCGCTCCCCTGCCCGCAACGCCCGCGCCCGGTTTATCGCCACGCGCAAACGCCCGTCAGCTCGCAAGTCCTCCGACAGCGACAGAGACAGACTCACCAGCCAGTGCTTCAGACTTGAAGGCAGCAGCTGCCTGCCCGCACCCGCAAACCCTAAACCCTAAACCCTAAACCCTAAACCCTAAACCCTGATCCCGAAATCCGAAATTCAAAACCCTGAACCCGAAGCCGTTAACCTAAAAGTCTAAATTATAAGCCGTAGGCCTTAAACGCTAGACCCTGATCTCTTAACTGTTGACTCAGAACCCGAAATCCTAAACCCTAAACCCTAAACTCTAGACGCTAAACCCTAAACACAGCAGAGGCACCGCCGCCTTTGCTAGCACGATCAACACTAGAAGGCGGCGGCAGCGCAGCAGCAGCAGCAGCTGCTGCTGCTGCTGCAGCTGTTTTTGCTGCTGCTGCCGCTGCTGCTGCTGCTGTTGCTGCCTGGCGGACCTGAATCTTTGGAGCGTGAGGGAGAAGGAAGAGGGCCTGGGAGAGAAGAGCTCCAGGCAAGGTCCAATGGAGACAAGCAGCTGCGTGAAGGCCCTGCAGAGCTGTAGAGACACCTCAGCAACACCCCACAAATTGGGGTTAGCAGCAAGACGCCGCCGCAGCGCAGCAATTTGCTGCTGGTGCTTCTGCTGCCCTTTGGCTTCCTGCTGTCGAAACAAAGTCTCAAACTGCTGCACGCTATCGATGTCGACGCGGCCGTCTGCCGCTCCGCCGCTTCCTGCTGCTGCTGGTGCTGCTGCTGCTGTTGCTGCCTCGCCTTGCTGCAGTGCCTCTCCGCCCTCTTCTAAGATGCTCAGGACCCCTGCGAGCACTTCTTCACTCAACAGCCAGTCCACGTGCTGCAACACAAGCTCCCACTTCCCCCTGACTGCTGGCTGCTGCTGCTGCTGCTGCTGCTGCTGCTGCTGCTGCGGTGGGGTCTGCACGCCTGAGAACCGCCAGAGAACAGTGCGGGGATCGGCGGGGAGGGATCGCCTTGTGTCTTCCCAGCAGCTCCACTGCCGCTGCCGCCTCCATAGCTGCAGCAGCTCTTTGTCTTGACTCAGCCGCAGCAGCAGCAGTTCCTGCTGGTCTCGGCTTCGCGGCTGCGCAGCAGCCCTGTGGTCTGCAACGGAATCTCCCGGTGGTGCGTTGCTGCTGCGGTTCCCAGTGCTGCTGCTGCTGCCACTGCAGGCGCTGCCGCTGCCGCTGCTGCTGCTGCTGCTGCTGCTGCAGTGCGCTTCGTCTTTGCGCATGCGGTGCAGCAGCTGCGCTATGCGCTCGCCGCCGTAGGCCTGGTCTGCTGCAGTGACCATTGCTGCCAGTTCTTGCTGGCTGAGGCAAGTAGGGTAGACTCTAAGGTCTGCCATGAGGCCCCTCATGGAGTGGGCCCTGCAGCGGGGCCACCGCTGCTGCAGCAGGTGGGCCTGCTGCTGCTGCTGCTGCTGCTGGGTGAGGGGGGTGTGGGGGGGGCGCTTGAGCAGCTCCTCGAGGCGCAGCGGCAGCGGCAGCGGGGCCACCCAGAAAGGCAGCGGGCCCTGGCAGAGGCAGCACCTGCTGCTGATGGGTGCTGCTGCTGCTTCCTTGCCATCTAAGAAGAGCCGCACCCCCAGCGGGAGGCCCCTGCCCAGGGGGGCCCCCACGCTGAGGCCCACGTGGGTCCACCGCCGCCGCACCAGTGGTTTGCTGCTCAGCAGCGCAGCAGCAACAGCTTGGTATTCCATATAAGTGGTTGTCTGCAGCGGCACTCTCAGCTGTACGTACACCCGGTTCTCAGGCGACAGCCACACAGACACTGTTTCGCTTACGCAGCCCCGCAGCCACACCAGCCGCCAGGGGGGGAGGTGTTCTGGCAGCTTGCAGTACTTGCAGCAGCTGCTGCTGCTGCTGCTGGTAGCCGCACTGCTGCTGCTGCTGGGGCTGGGAGGCGCGTTGGGGGAGCTGCTGCTGCTGCTGCTGCTGCTGCTGGGGCTGCCTGCGGCGCGGGCGTCGTCTGCGGCTTCCGCCAAGGCCAGCTGCAGCAGCCGGTCCGCCACGTGGCGGTCTTCGCCAGTGCAGGCTGCGCCGCAGCCGTCGTGCTGCTGCTGCTGCTGCTCTTGCTGCAGCTGCTGCTGGTAGCACGCCTGCTGCTGCTGCTGCTGCGGGCTGCTGGCAGCGGCGCCCAAGGGAGAAGGAGAAGTAGCAACGTCCCCCCGTCTCTGTAGCAGCTGCCTGTAGGGCGGCTGCGCAAAAAGACTCCCCTGCAGCAGCTCTATGCGCGTCAGGCCCCCCCCGCGCCTCACAATTTGCCGCCGCAAACCTGCATGCGGGGACCGGGGGGCCCCCGGGGCCCCCGGGGCCCCCGGGGCCCCGGGGGGGCCCCCCAGGTGGGCCCCCAGGGCAGCCCCTTCGCCAGGGCCTGTCCAGGGGGAGTACCATCTTGAGGGGGCGCGGTCTTGGGAGTCGACGCCGCTGTCGTCTAGCACTGAAATGGATTGCGGCTGATAGTGGTGCAGGCGCTGCTGCTGCTGCTGCTGCTGCTGCTGCTGCTGCTGCTGCTGCTGCTGCTGGAAATGTGTTTCCGTGGTGTCACCGTGCTGCGTACCCACGTATTGCTGCTCCGCGTCCAGGCGGTGCTGTTCCTGTTGCAGCTCCAGTTGTTGCTGCGGATGGACAGCGGCTGCAAAGTTCTGGTGCTGCTGGCGCCCGTGCTGCTGCTGCTGCTGCTGCTGTTGCTGCTGCCGCGTTCCCTGCTGCCGCTGCTGTACGTTCAAATGGTCCTGGCTTTGCTGCGCCTGTTGCTGCTGTCGCCGCTGCACTTCCAGCCTCTGGTCGTGGTGCGTCGCCTCGAGCTGTTGCTGCTGCTGCTGCTCATCTTGCTGCGGCTGCTGCTGCTGGTCTTGCTGCTGCTGCCGCTGCGGCTCCACCTCTGATTGCGCCACTGGGTTTGGGCGTCCAGTGAGCCGCTGTCGCGACTCATGTGACCCCGACAGGCTTTGGTCCTCCCTCAGACCCTGCTGCTGCTGCTGCTGCTGCTGCTGCTGCTGCTGCTCTTGGGGCACCAAACCTTGCTGCTCGAGGGGCGGCTGCATGCCCCCTCCCCCATATCCGTGGGGGTTATCCCCTGTTGGCCTTTCTCGCGGTGCTGGCCGTGCAGCTGCGGTCGCATTTGGCACTGCTGCTGCTGCTGCTGCTTCTGCTGCTGCTGCTTCTGCTGCTGCTGCTTCTGCTGCGTCTTCTAGCCTCCAGGGGCTTGCGAAAGGAGAATCCCCAGGGGGCTGCGCAGGCGACGCCACATACGGGAGGTCACCTCGGGGAGCTGCTGCTGCTGCGTGCCTGCCAGCACTTTGGCTTGAGTTGCGGCTTGTGGGCTGCCAGACTGTTGGCTGCTGCAGCAGGGGCTGCTGGCGCTGCTGCTGCTGCTGCTGCGGCGGCTGCTGCTGCTGCTGGTTGCGAGAATCTGCTGCTGGCGCCATCGAGGCAGGACTGGGGGCTGTTGCTTCGGGGCGCTGCTGCCTCATGGGCCTCCAGCGCAGCACTCCGGTGTCAGGGGCCCCGGAGAATCCTGACGCCCTAGTGCTGCTGCTGTAGCTGTTGCTGCTGCTGTTGTAGCTGTTGCTGCTGCTGCTGGCGTTGCTGCTCTCAGGAGCTTGAGGTGGGGGCGGCACCGGCTGCGCAGAAGCAGCAGCAGCTCCAGAAGCTCTTCGCGTGTGGGAACTGCCCCGGGGCGGCTGAGGTGCATCATGTGGTGAAGCAGCTACCTGCTGCTGCTGCTGCTGCTGCTGTTGCTGCTGCTGCTGCTGCTGCGGTGGCGGCGGTGGCGGTGGCGGGGGCGGCTCCTCTTCATCGTCATATAGCCAAAAGGAAAAGGTGCAGGGGGGCCTGGCGTCGAGAGGCACTGAGACAACGGGTGCAGGGAACGCGTCTCTGCATGCAGCCAAGGCACTCTCCGCGCTGCTGCTGCTGCTGCTGCTGCTGCTGCTGCTGGCGGCACAGGGCGTCTTTGTGCGGGGCTCCCCTACAACAACCACTCCGGGAAACACTGGCCAGTGGCGCTGCTTTGCTGCTGTTTCCACGACGCAGCGCAGCAGCATCTCCTGAACACCAGCCAGGTGGGGGGTCAGGGCAGCAGCAGCGGCTTCTGCTGAACTGCTGTTACTCCTGTTGCCGCTCCTGCTGGTGTTGTTGCTGCTGCTGTTGCTGCTGCTGTTGTTGCTGCTGCTGCTGTTGCTGCTGCTGGTAGTGGTAGTGCCAGTTCTGTTGGTGTTGCTGCTGTCATCGCGAGCACAGGTGCTGCTTTCCACTTGGACTCTCGGCAGCAGCCCTCCCTTATGGCGTTCGCCCACTTCGCAGTTTGCTGCTGTTGGGGCTGGAGCCGTTGCAGATGCCGCTGCTGCTGCTGCTGCTGCTGCTGCTGCTGGAAGCAGCGGCGTCAGCGGCAGGCAGGAGGCCGCGCTATCGGTGGCTGCATCTGCTGCAGCAACAGCCTCTTGCGAAGGTTTCAAGGAGAACCTCGACAGCAAGTTGCACAAAGGGGCAAGTCCCTGGCGAGGTGTTTGTTTTTCCCACTTTCCTGCTGCTGCAGCTGCTGTTGCTGCTGCTGACGATGATTCTGAATGCGCGGCGTTTGCTGCTGCTGCCTCATTTGCCGTTCTGGCTGCGGCCACCTCAGCTGCGTAGGTTGCAGCTGCGGCTGCGGGGTCATCTCCCTCAAGAAGCTCCCCGCCCAGGTTCCCGTGTTCGCCAGCAGCAGCAGCAGCAGCAGCAGCTGCTGCTGCTGCTGCTGCTCTGTGGTGCTGCTCCAGCGCAGCGTCCCGCTGCAGTGCAAACAGCTTCAAAAATGCCACTGTCAGCAAACAGCGACTCAGCCAAGAAGGAGGAAAGGCCGAGAGGAAAACACTGGCCCCCACAGGCCATTCTGCGTAGTCGCTGAAGACCACTTGAGCTGTTGCTGCTCTTTCAGCAGCAAACCAAACCCTCAGGGTTTCCTTCATCAGGGCTTCTCTCAGGGCGCTGGACACGGAGGGAGCCGCTGCTGCTGCTGCTGCTGCTGCTGGGTGGGGCTCTGCTGCTGCAGCTGCGCCCGCGGGGCCGGTGCCTGTGACTGCCGCGCAGCAAAGGAATTGCTGCTCAGCGGACAGGTGGCTGGTGAGGCGCTGCAGCAGCTGCTGCTGCTGCTGCGTCGCCGCAGCTCCTGGTTCGGGTGCCGGGGCTTGCTGCAGCTGCTCTCGTTGGTGGTGCTGCTGGCTGTGCTGCTGCTGCACGCCAGCGACGCCGCGGGAGCTAAGTGCTGGAGCTGCTGCTGCCGCTTTCGGAGCTGTTGCTGCGCCTGCTGCTGCAGCGGCTGACGCGCCCTCTGCAGCTTCCCCGTGGGCAGCAGCAACAAGGCCACAAAGCTGCAGCAGCGGCAGCCAAAGTCCCCTTTCTGGAGGCAGCTGCAGCGAGACTCCACCCAAACAAAACAAAAGCCCCCCCAGAAGAGAAGTTACATCGTGGGGCCCTAATGTTGCCTTCAGGATCCGCAGCCGCAGCCGCAAGAACTCAGTCAGATACTGCAGGGAGACTTGGGCGCTGCCGATTGGGAGCAGCCGCTGCGGCTTCTGCTGCAGCTGCTGCTGCAGCTGCTGCTGCTGCAGCAGCAGTAGCTGCTGCTGCTGTTGCTGATGTTGAGAGGCAACGGCTCCCGTGGACTGATCGGAGGTGTTAGTGGAGTCTCTAGATGGGGAGGCAATCGAGTCTTGCAGCTGCTGTCCCAACTGCTGTTGCGATTCCTGTTGCTGCTGCTCGTTCATCATCTCCTGTTGCTGCTCGTGTTGCTGCAGCGGCTGTCCCGTCGGCTCTCCTACGAAAGGGAGATCCCCGTCGTTTTGATGCTGTGCATGTTGTCTCTGCCGGTGGTGCCGCCTTTGCTGCTGCTGCTGTAGCGGCTGCTGCTGCTGCTCTTGCTGCTGCTGAGGCCACGGCCGCTGGCCAATCACTGCAGGACATCCGTCAACAGCAAACGGCAGCAAGAAAAAAGGCTTTTGGGAGCCATAAGTGCATTTGAGGCTAAGGGCTGAGAGGAACTCAGACCCTGTTTGCGGCCTTTGGCCGCAGTGCTGCTGCTGCTCTTGCTGTTGCTGCTGCTGCTGTTGCTGTTGCTGCTGCTGCTGTGCGTCCTCTGTCTGCGGCTGCTCAGCCTGCTGATCGATTTGTATTCGAGACTGATCTCGTATTCGTTCATCAGGCTGCTGCTGCTGCTGCTGCTGCACCTGCAATTGTCCCGGGGGACTGTACAAGTCCTCCGCGGTGGCTTTCTGGGCATCTATTTCCTTTTGTCCCTCGCGTGCTGCAGGAGGTGCTGCTGCTGCTGCTGCTGCCGCCGCCGCTTGAGGGTTTGCTGCCAGCGGGGAGAATCTGGGGGCCGCAGGGCACAGAGTAAAGCAGTCAACAGGGTCGTACCCGTCTTGCTGCTGCTGCTGCTGCTGCTGCTGCTCGGAGCTGCTGCTGCTCGCGTCTTGCGGTGTGGAGAGGTTGCAAAGGGCGCGGATGAGGGGGTCGAGCTGGTGCTCGTGGCAGAGCAGCAGCAAATCAGTTGTGGCTCTGAGTCTGTCTCTGCTGGCTTCCCTGTGTGTGTCAGTAGCAGTTCTGAGCTCAGGTGAAAGCCGGGCTCTTGCTGCTGCTTCTTCTCCCGAGGCCTCCGCCTGTGCTGCAGCAGCAAGCACTCCCATGCCCGACAGCAGCTTCGTGCTGCCGGCAAAGCCGCCGTTTGTGACTGCCTCCAGCCGGCTGTACAGACACCCGAAGGCTGCAGCAGCCTCTGCGCGCAGCTGCAGCAGACGGCGAGATATGCTGCTGCTGCGGTGCAGCGGCAGCCCGCTGCCCCCGGCGCAGCAGCACGCGTAGGTCTCTGGCAGCTCCACCCCGCCGCTGCGGCCCTGCTGCAGCTGCAGCGTCTGCTGCAGCTGCTGCTGCAGCAGCAGCCGCAGCAGCCGCTGCTCCTCGGGAGACCGAAGAGTCGCTGCGGGAGCGTAAGAAAGCGGCTGCAGCATGTTGAACAGCTGCCGCAAAAGTGACACTGCAGCAGGCCTGTCAGCTAAAGACGAAGTCTGCTGCAGCAGAAACTCCACCACGGGAAACAGTACCCCTGCAGCGCAGCCAACACACCTCCGCCCCAAGTTCCAAACCCTAAACCCTAAACCCTAAACCCTAAACCCTAAACCCTAAAAGGCCCTTAAAGGGTATTGCCAACACCTAAGACCTTCTAACAGGCATGCTGAGCCGCAGGTGTTCAGCCTTGCTGAGGGGTTTGCGCTGCAGCACGGGGCTCCCTGCAACGCCTGAAGCTGCAGCAAACGCTTGCAGCTGCAAGGGTTTGCTGCTGGGGTTGTTTGTGGCTACACTTGCCTGCTTGCTTGTGCCTGGGGGTGCAGGCAGCCAGCAGCAGAGTCAGCTCAGCAGCAAGATGCAGGTTGCAGCCCCGCAAGGCCTCGGTGTCAGTGAGCCGCTGCAGCAGCGGCGTCAGCAGCAGCCGAAAGCCCCAGCGCGGGCTGCTGCCCGTGGAGTGTACGTACACCCGGCCACAGTCCAAGACCTCCAGGCGACACCCGGTAAGACTGTCTGCAGCAAAAAACGAAAAGCGAGCTTAAGAGAAGAGCTACTCAAGGCTCCCACGAAATCGCAGCGCCTGCTGCAGTCAGCAGCAGCAGCAGCAGCAGCCGTCCGGCGAAGGAGCAAAAACAGAAATATGAGCAGCAGCAGGAATTGCACACATCAGCAGCAGCAGCAGCGAAGTCTCAGGCAGCACAAGGACCCCACATTGCTGCTGGCCTCGAACACAACACAAGAGTGCAAGCAGCATATAGGCCTTTGAAAAGCCTGCAGCAGCCCGTAAGGCGGCGGAGAGTGCAGGCAGCAGGAGCAGCAGCTTTTAATTTAAAACTCGAGAAGTAAAGGACTTATGTGGCTTGCTGCTGCAGCACCTGAGTGCTTCATGGAAAAGACAACAGCCTCGTCTTCCTCCTCCGCAGAAAGCGTGAGGGAACAGCCCTCTTCAGAACCCCCCAAGTCCGTGCGGGGGTCCAGCAGCACAAGAAGGCGGCGGCAGGGGAGAAAAGAAACTGCAGCAAGAGTTTCTTGGTGCTGCCCGAAGGGGTGTTTGGACTCGACGCAGTGTACAGACACCCGGTGGCTGAAGGCTGCGCGCAGCTGCTGCAGCACGAAGAGCCCCAGCTGGTCCACCAGCTGCCCGTGGGGCCCGTCCGCCAGCAGCGCGCGCGCCAGCAGCTGCAGCAGCCGCAGCAGCTGCTGCATGCTGCTGCACGGCAGCTGCTGCAGCAGCGGCGAAATTACGAAGGGCGCAAACGGGGGGCCTCCGAGGCCCCCACGGGCCTCCACTAGACTCCCTGCGTCGCCCTGGGCTGCCACTGGCAGCAGCGTGGGGGCCCCCAAGCCGCTGGAGAGAAAAAACGCCATGAAGGAGGGGGGCCCCTGCTGCGGCATCTGCGGCGCTGCTGCTGCTGCTGCCTTGCTCTGCTGCCACACGCCGAGGCAGCTGGACACTAGGGTGGCGGCCTTGTGGGGGCCCCCCCCCGCGAAGCAGGGGGGGCCCAGCTCGCTGTAGCTCAGCTGCAACAGCTTCAAGTAGTCAAAGAGGCCCCCAAGGTCTTCAAGACCCACCAAGGGGCCCTCAAAGGACTGCAGCATGCGCCGGACTGCCTGCCGCACCTGCGCAGGCGCAGCAACGGAGGCAGCAGATACTCCTGAGAACCTCAACAGGGGGTCCTGCTTGTGATCTGCTGCTGCTGCTGCTGCTGCTACTGTTACTGCTTCTACTTCTGCTGCTAATGCTTCTGCTGCTCCTGCTGCTGCCGGTGCTGCTACTGTTGTTTTTGTTTCCTCTGCTGCTGCTGCAGCTACTGGGCCTGCTTCTGCTTCTGCTATTTCTGCCTCTGTTTCTGCCTGCGCTGCTGCTGCTGCTACTTCTTCTGCTGCTGCTACTTCTGCTGCTGCTGCTGCTGCTACTGCCTTCATAGGCTAACTTGCAGGCCCGCGACGGCACCCTCTAGCTTCTCCAGCAACGTCAGCAGCGCCTGAATGGGGGGCCCCCCTGGCGCTGCGGAATAGCCCTCGGCGCCTCTGGGGGCCCCCCCGGTGGCCTTCTCTAGTAGGGCCTCGAGGCCGTGAAGGGGCCCCCAAGGGGGCCCCGCCTTGCACAGAAGGGTTTGCGGCAGCCTTATAAGCCTGCGGATGCCAGTCTCTTCATCTTCAATATCCAGAACTACTGTTGGGACGCCTAAGCGTCTGCTGCTGCTGCTGCTGCTGCTGCTGCTGCCTTCCTCAGCCACTAGACGCAGCTCCTCAAAGTTGTCTATCTGCCATATGCAGCCGCAGCGGCCCGCGAGCCCTTCCAGCAGCAGCATATCTCCTGTTGCTGATATCACGAGGCCCTCGACGATATTTGTCGTTACTACTCTGCTGCTGCTGCTGCTGCTGCTGGCGGCCCTGCTGCTGCCATTCACAGCTGGTTGGGACCGGGGCTGTAGCAACTCCTGCACGGCGCGGCACGCCGCTGACAAGTCGACGCTGCTGCTGCCGCTGCTGCTGCTGCTGCTGCTGCTGCTGCTGCTGCGGGTATTGCTGTTGCTGATGACGTCGTTGCTGGTGCTCCGCACCCACTGTTGCAGCACCTGCGCCCTCTCTGGGCCTACGCCTTCCTCAATGGCTGCTATGGCGGCCGTTGCTGCTGCTGCTGCTGTTGCTGCCTGTGCTGCAGGGTCTGGAGCAGCTTCTGGAAGCACAGCGACCCCGTGAACTAGAGAAGCTGCTGCTGGGTGAACACGCACGAGGAGGCCCAGCCGCAGCTCCTTGGGCGACAGCAGCTGGGGCCCACTGGGGCCCTCAACGGCGCACAGCTGATCTCGCCAGTTTCCCGCGCCTGCAGCAGCAGCAGCAGCAGCAGACGGCGCCCCGGACATCCCGGTGGTAGGGTGGCGGATGGCGGCGGAGAGCAGGTCGTCATACCACTTGGTGCTGCGCAGCACTGCTGCAGATATCTCGTCGGACAAGCTGCTGCTGCTGCTGCTGCTGCTGCAATTTTTGTCCAGCTGAAACTCCGGCGCTACGTTTTCGCTGGCTTGCTGCATCAACGCATAGAGAGAGGTGTCGGTGCCTCTCCTGGCAGCAGGGGCGACATCATGTTCGCCTGGGCTGCTGCTGCTGCTGCTGCTGCTGCTGCTGCTGTCTTCATTGTTGTTGCTGGTAGTGTTGCGGCCGCTGCTGTTGCCGGTGCTTCCACTGGCCCCTGAAAGCTCAGCTGGCTCGAAATCTTCCTCATCCTGTTCTTCCTGCTGCTGCAGCAGCAGCTCCTGCTGTTCGAGCTCCTGCTGCTCGAGCTCGTGCTGTTCGAGCTCCTGCTGCTGCAGCTCCTGCTGCTGCTGCTCCTGCTCCTCCCGCAAGTCTGCTTCTTCTAAGAAGCGCATCTGCATCGCCTCCAGCTCGGCCACGCCGCTGGTCAGCAGCCACTCTGCTGCTGCCTGCAAGTCATCTCCCTGCAGCCTCAAGGCTGAGACGCACAGTCCTAAAGGGAAGAGTCCACTTCCCATCATTTCGTGAAGTGTTTCTGCTGCTGCGCGGCGCTGCAGCGCCTCCTGGCTAAGGGCCCCCACAAGAATGGGGGCTGTTGGGGCCCCTGCGCCTGCGTTGCTGTCTCGGGCGCTGGAGCCTGCTGCTGCAGGTGCAGCAGCAGCAGCAGCAGCACCGCCGCGGGCAGCAGCGGAAACTGCTGCGTCGTTGCTGGCACCCTGGCCGCTGCTGGCGTAGCTGCGAGGCAGCTGCAGCGCAGCAGGCTGCAGCGCAGCAGGGGGAAGCCCCATGTCTGCAAAGAGCTGCTGCATATCCGCATTGTCTAAGGAAGTTCCAAAAGGATACAAAAAAGGAGAGGCCCCAAAATTAGCCTGCAGACGCAAAGGGGGGCCTTCGCTCCAAGCGGAGGCCCAGACGGCAGGGCGGAAGCAGCCGCGGACCTCCTTGAAGGCCACCACGCTGCTGCTGCAGTTGCTGCTGCAGTTGCCGCTGCAGTTGCTGCTGCAGTTGCTGCTGCAGTTGCTTCCTGCCCACGGGGTGACAGCCACTAGTTGGCCGTTTTTGGTGAAGCTGATAAGGCGCTGCTTTGCATTCAGCAGCACGCCCACAGTGTCGCCTACTCCGTAGGCAGCAGCACGACCTGCTGCAGCAGCAGCAACAGAAGCCCCGTGCAGCAGCGAGCCTGTGCTGCAGTAGAGGTACCCGCTGCTAAGGCTGCTGTCTCCGGTTTTGAGCACACAGCCGTCCACGTGAAGGCCCACAGCAACGAGGGGCTCTTTGCTGCTGCCGCTGCTGCTTCTCTCCTGTTCGCCAGTGTTGCTGCTGCTGCAGCTGCAGCAAGCGCGATAGCTCCCGACCTGCTTTTCTTGCTGCTGTGCAGAGGCTGAGGAAGGCTGCACTGCTGCTGCGCACTCTCCCCTTTCTGCAGCAACGCAGGGAGCCCCGCAGCTGCTGCACTGCTGCTGCTGTTGCTTCGAGTCCAATCCAATGTACACCTCAAAGTAATATGCAGGGAGAGACGTGGGTATTGCTCTGTTAGCCTGGGCAGTGCATTGGAGCCTGTTGCAGTGCTCTACGACAGCTGCTGCCTGCTTTGCTGCTGCTGCTGCTGCCTCATCTGCAGCAGCTGCTGCTTTCTTCGTAGCTGTTACTGCTGTTCCTGGTTTTCCTCCCACGGCTTGTTTTGTTGCTGCTGTGTCAACCAGTGTGTCGGAGGGGCTTTGTCCAACAGAGATGCAGCTAATTTGGGCGTTTTGCAGCAGCAAGAGTTGATCGTCTTGCTGCTGGTGCTGCTGCTGGTGCTGCTGCTGCTTCTTGTCGCGAGGCTCTGCCCCAGCTTCACCAGCGAAGGAGGAGGCTGGCGGCGGTTCATTATCCGGCTGTGTTTCGGCTTCCTGCTGCTGCTGCTGCTGCACGTCCTGCAGCAGCACTGTCCAGTCCTCCGGGGGGCAGCAGAAACGCTCAGCAGTTCGCCTCTCCCAGGCACTGGGCAGCAGCAGCGGCAGCCCCGCAAAGGGGCAGTGCCGCAGCGCTTCTGCTGCTGTTTGCCGCAGCAGCAGCCGGTTCTCAATGGCTAGGCAGCCATGCAGGCGGTCTCGCAGCAGCTGCCGCAGCCGCAGCGAGAGGGCCCGCAGCTCTTCGAGGCCTTCTAGGTAAGGCACGGAAATGGGGCGGAGGCAGACGACTAAGAGGGACTGCAGCAGCTGCTGCTGCAGCAGCAGCGAAGCAGCGACCTGCCGGCTCTGCAGCAGCTCGCTCACCGCCGAAAGCGCCATGGTCCGTAGCTGCAGCAGCAACAGAGAAGCCACGCGCCCTGCGGGAAGCCACGTCACCCCATCCGCTGCTGTTGCTGCTGCTGCTGCTGCTGAATTGGAAAAAGCAGCATCGGCCGGCTCATGCTCTTCGTCTAGTAATCCTTTCTCTGCTGCAACAGTCAGCCTCACTATCTCCTTCAGCAGCTCCTCCGTCTCTGAGTGCTGCGCTGCTGTCTCGTCGCTGCGGCCTGCTGCTGCCCTGCTGCTGCTTGCTGCTGCTGTCAGCGCAGCCGCTGCTGGTCCACTTGCTGCTGCTGCAGAGGCTGTGTCGGCAAGAGAAGCCTGGAAAGACCTGCTCCAGGGCGCCCGCTGCGTTGGGCTCCCAGGGCTGTGGCGGCTGTGCTGCTTCTGCTTTTGCTGCTGCTGCTGCTGCTGCTGCTGGGCACCTTTGAGCAGCAAATCAGCAATCGCGTGTCCATCTGTCTCGCAAAGGCTTGCAGCTGTCCCTGCTGTCAGGCGGCTGAGCTGCAGCCTGCAGCTGTTTCCTTCCTTGACCTGCAGTAGCGCGAGTCCTTCGTACCTCGACAGCAGCACGAGTCTGTTGCTTTGGAGCAGCTGCTGCTGCAGCAGTTCGCTGCCGTTGCTGCTATCCGCCTGCAACGAGCAGCCAACTCTCAAAAACTCTGGGGAGCCTCCGAGCACAGCAAGGGCGCCCAGAGCCTCACAGAAAGCTTGGCCCCATGGCGTATCTCCGTCTTTGTGGCACTTGAGTTCCGCTGCTGCTGCTGCGTCTGCTGCTGCTGCTGTAGCTGCTGCTGCTGCTGCTTGCCCAGCAGCTGTGCACGCAGATATAAGCCACTCTTGGGTCTCTGCAGAGACGTGCTGCTGCTCCGTGTGATGGTGATGGCGGTGACGATGCTTGGCTTGGTGGTCATGGTGCGGTTGTTGTTGTTGCTGCTGCTGCTGCTGCTGCTGCTGCTGCTGCTGCTGCCTCTGGGCGTCGTCTGCAGCTCCCTGCAGCAGCGCTTGAGGACCCTTTTCTAATACCGCGCTGCTGAAAGCCATGGCTTGCCGAATCCGCTGCCGGATGGGCTGGCTCCACTGGCAGCAAAGCAGCAGCTGCCTGAGGAGTCCCCTGAGCTCCAGGGCCAGAGCAGCTTGTTGGCTAGCTGTGCGGCTCTGCGTGAGCACACAGGTTGGGATGCTGCCGCTGCTGCTGCTGCTGCTGCTGCTGCTGTTGCTGCCGCTTCTGGCGCTGTGGCGAAGGAACAGCTGGTGCAGCAAAAGCTCCTCCCAGTGCCGGGACATCTGCGAGAGGCCTGACGAGCATTCGCCCAGGGCGAAGGCCATGGGGGACACCAGCAGCTGCAGGGGCCTGCCGCTGCTGCTGCTGCGCCCGGGTGCAGCTGCTGCTGCGCCTGAGATTGCTGCTGCTGCCGCCTCTGCTGCGAGCTGCTGAAAAGCTGCTGCTGCAAGAGCCGCCGGGCTGCACACTGCCACCCCGCAGCCAATAGCAGCTAGAAGGCATTCTGCGACCTGCAGTGCGGCGCTGCTGCTGTCGCTTAGTGAGCAGCTGCTGCTGGGACAGGGCCCATTCCATGGTGCAAGGGCGCCGGCGTGGCCTGTTGCTGCTGCTGCTGCCGCAGCCGACTCCACGACTTCGGCTGCTGACTCTGCTGCTTCAGTTGCTGCTGCTGCTGCTGCTGACGGCGGCTCTGCTGCCGCAAAGAAGTTGGGGGTCGCTGGAGCTGACAATGCTGCTAGGAGGATCCCTCTGTCTCCATGGTGTGCGGGCAGAAGCAGACGTAGGTGCTGCTGCTGCTGCTGTATGGCTGCAGGATGCATCAGAATGTAGCAGCCACGGCTGTTGGCAGCAGCAGCAACAGCATTAAGCAGCACATCTCTGAGGTGGCCAGAATAGAGAGTGGGGGCCTCAGCAACTGCTCTGAGGGCCGGCAGCAAAAAGCGAGCTGCGTGTTGGGGGCTGCTGAAGGGCAGCAGCAGCTTCAGCAGCAGCGCGGCCTGTCGCTGCAGCCTAGGGCTGCCTGCAGCAAGCAGCAAAGCTACTGCAGCGCCCAGCGCATCAGACGAGAGAATCAAACGGAAGCAGCAAGCTGCGGAGCTGCAGCAGAAACATCCCCACTCTAGTGAGGCCCCGGGGCTGCTGCAGCAGCAGGGCGTGCTGCAGCAAGTCTGCAAGTCCATAGCTCCTTTATGGTCCAGGCGCCAGCTATGAGAGCTTCCGGAGGGAGACCAGTGGTCATACGCCGCAGCAGCAGACGGAAGTGGGGTAGCTGCCGTACCCGCTGCTGCTTCCGTTGCTGCTGCTGCTTCTGCTGCTGTTGCAACGTGCTGCTGCAAGAGCGCCGATGAATCAGACGTCAGACACTTCGATAGAAGGAGGATCAAGAGGGAAGCAAAGAGATGAGTCGTCGATTCCCAAGACAAGAAGAGTTTCATTTCCTGGACTGCCTGCAGCTTGTTGTGTTGCTGCTGCTGCTGCTGCTGCAGCTGCGGAGCAAGTTGTGCTGCTGCGGTTTGCAGAGCTGCAATCAGCCCCAAGTCGATGCAAAAGCGCATGGCGAGCAGGCGGGACCTGTGGCCTGCTGATGCAGCGCGGAGACAGACAATGAGCAGCAGCAGCAGCCTGTCGTAGAGGGGCGGAGGCGGCAGCTGCTCTTGCTGCTGCTGAGGCTGCTGCTGCTGAGGCTGCTGCTGCGCGGGAAGAGCTCCAGCCACGGCGACGTCTATCAAGCCAATGCGTTGCAGCGCTAATATGTCTCTTTCAGCAAAGGCGATAAACCCTAGAACAGACAGCGCAGCATTGCGCACCATGAGGCATTGCTGCGGCAAGAAGGGCTCCTGTGTACGTTCAGCTGCAGCAGCAACAGCAGCAGCAGAAGCAGCTGCAACAGGAGCTGCAGCAACGTCTGCGCAGCAATCCTCCGCGTGTGGCGCGGCCAGTTCTTCAACTCCACGCACAGCACACAACTGCTGCTGCTGCTGCTGCTGCTGCTGCGTGCTCGCCAGTTGCACTGCGACGGCCACGGCGCGGTAGTGAAAGAGCCGCAGCTGCCTCTCTAGCTGCACCCCACAGCCCCTGACGGAGCAGCAAAAGTCACCTTGCTGCTTTTGCTGCTCTCTTTGGGGTCCCCTGCCTTCGTCCCCCGGGAACTCGTAAGGCCTGAACAGCGGGTAGCGCGGTAAGCAGGGAAGGCTGCCGCTGCTGCTGCTGCTGCTGCTGCTGCTGCTGCATTTCCGCCAACCCAAGTACTGCAGCTGGGACCCTTCTTCTGGCGGCTGCACCCAAGTAGGCAGCGGCAGCCCCAAAGGCGTCTCGCGGCCCATAGAGCGCAGCACTTTCAGCAGCAAATAAAGGGGCAGGGGGCTCCGCAGAGACAGCAGCGCGTGGTGCAGCAAATCTAGACCCTGCAGCATTCCTTCAGCTCGCAGCCGCCGCTGCCGCAGCGCATCTGCCATGCAGCTCAGGTCGTCCAGAGGGCCGGAAGGAGAAGCCGCTGCTGCTGCTGCTTCGTCTTCTGCTTCTGCTGCAGCAGCAGCAGCCTCGGAGGCAGTGGAGAGAGAGGCAGCAACTGCCCCACCTGGGAAATTCGAGCTCCTGCCCTCCGCGTCTGTTGCTCCTTGTGCTGCTGCAGCACTCGGTTGCAGCACTGTGGAGTCCGACTGCGACGCTGCTTGCTGCTGAAGCGACACTACTGGAGCGGCAGCAGCAGCAGCTGCAGAAGCAGCAGCCGTAGCAGCAGTGACCTCTCTCACCATTTCTGCTGCTGCCGCAGCTGCTGCCTTGCCTAGACAGCGCACCAACAACAGCTGTTGGTCACGGCCTTGGGAAAAAACTGTCTCAAGCGTCTTTTTGGAGTTCCCTGCGGCAGCAGCAGCATCAGCGTCGGGCGACTCAGCTACGGCCGTGGGTCCTGCTGCTGCTGCTGCTGCGTTTGCTGCTGCAGTGCATGCCGAACGCACTGCAGAAGCAGCCGACTCAGCAGCAGCAGCAGCAAGAGTCGCTAGCCGTTGGCGTTGCTCTTGTGTCTCTGAGTTGGCGGAAGTGGTGCCGGTGACAGCAGCAGCTGTTGCTGCTGCCTGCACTGCACGCGAAGCTGCAGCAAGCGCTCGCGCTGCAGTCGGTGGCAGAGCAGGAGGCTTCGCAAAGAAAACTGCAGCAACTCCGTGGGAGACACTTTTTGCAGCAGCCTCTATTTCTTGCTGTTGCTGTTGCTGCTGCTGCTGCAGCTGCCTCGCTTCCCTCCACTTCTGCATGCGCTGCCACTTGGCAAACGCCTTCTTACAGCGGCTTACCCGCTGATCTGGTGCAGCAGTCCGCGCATTTGCTTCTGCTGCTGCTGCTGCTTCTGCTGCTGCTTTGGTGGTAGAGAATGCATCTGGAGAGCCTAGAGGTATGAAGGGCCCCCTGACATCCAAAGCAGCCAGGGAGGACAAAGCTCTCACAAGAGTTTGCTGACTGTATTCTTCCGTGGTATCTGCTTCTGAGTTTTGGGGGACAGCATCAGCAGCAGCAGCAGCAGCAACTGCAGCAGCCGTTACTGCAGCTGTGTGTGCAACAAATGAGGTGGAGATGGGGGTCGACGCGAGCGAATGCCTTCCTGTTGCTGTGCCAGCAGCAGCCGCAAGGTGTTCTGCTTCCGTGCTGTGCAGCAACAGGCTGCTGCTGCTGCAGTTGCTGCTGAGGTGTGTCAAGCTGCTGCTGCCGAGGCGCGGAATTTCACTGGGGCTGCTGCTTTTGCTGCTGTCCCACACGCCATCTTGGCACGCTCGCCTCCGAAGCTGAAGCCCTCCTCTGAAAGCGTGCGCTCTTGCTGCTGCTGCTGCTGCTGCTGTTGCAGTGGGTTCTAGGCCTGCTGCAACGAGACTGTAAGGCAGGCGCCTTTCCTCCTTGTCTCTTTGCCGAAGAGAAAAAGGCTTTAGCCTCATGAGAAGAGCTGCCTTGCTCAGGAGAACTGCTGCCCAAAAAGAATAGCAGGAGAGAGTCTGCTGCTGCTCGAGCTGCTGCTGCAGCTGCCGCCTTTGCTCCTCCTTAGCAGCAGCAGCAGCACCGCGAGGAAGAGCAGCAAGGTCTCTTCTGTTGCCCTCAGCAGCTAATACGCTTCGCTGCCTCTCACCCACCACCCACTGTCTCAAAGTCCGTCCCCCAGACCAGACGAACACAGCAGCAGCAAACTGCTGCTCGTCAGCAAGCCACAGCGCCTGCCGCCTTACAAGGGTTTCCAAATTGCTGCTGTTGCTGCTGCTGCTGCTGTTGTGTTTAGCTGCTGCTGCCGCTGCGTCGGCGAGCTCTGGCTCCCGCTTCAGTAGCTCCAGCAGCAGCGACACGAGCAGCCTCTGCATGCGCAGGTGGTGCAGCAGGCAGCAGCAGTAGGCTTTGATAGCCAGCTGCAGGCTGAGGCCCCCCACAGTCTCGCTCAAGAGCGCGCCCCCAGTTGAGGCCCTCCTCACAGCCCCCAAAGACCTGTGGGGCCCCCGCCTCCCCACAGCTGCTGCTGCTGCTTCCAGCACCAGGCCAAGGGCTCTTCCCAGGGGCCCCCCTTTCCACAGAATGTAGCAAATGCTTTCTGGGTGGGCCTGGAGGTGATGCAGCTCCGCCTGCCACGCGGGCGCAGCAACGGGAGGCAGCAGAACCAGGCTTTGACGCCAGGCGCCTGGTGCTGCCTCCCCAGCAGCAGCAGCAGCGCCACCTGCTGCGCCTGCTGCTTCCTCAGCAGCAGCAGCATCACGTGCTGCTACAGTCGCTGCTGCTGCGTCCGTTGCGAGCCCGTTTTGCGCAGCCAATTTCTGCTGTCCCGCAGCAGCTCCAGGAGCTTCCTGTGGGTTTGCTGCTGCCTCAGGGTGACACCGCAAATCCCCCTCATTCGTTTGGGGCCTCCCCACAGAGAGGTCTTCCTGGCGTAGCTGCTTCTGCTGCTGCTGCTGCGCGCTGCCACGGCCTGGGTGCGTGAGGGTAAAGGCCTCTGCAGCTGCGGCCCCCAGGCAGCTGTCCTGAGGGCCTTTAGAGGGCCTAGCTTGAGAAGTTTGGGAGATCCGCCGGGGTAAAGACTCGAAGGAGCTGCCAGAGTTGAAGTCCGAGGCGCCTCTGGAGGGCCGCAAGGAGGGCCCTCGTGCAGGGGCGGCCCCTAGGGGCCCCTCGAGGTGGCCCCGAAGGGGCCCCTCTGACAGATCGGCTGGCAGAGCTGAGGAAGGGGTCTCGCGAGGGGGCAGTGCGTGAGCTGCAGAGGGGGCAAAGGGGGCTTCTGGAGCAGAGGTGAGCATCTCACTTCCTCGCTGCTGCTGCCAGTCCAGCTGCTGCTGCTGCTGCTGCCGTTGCCGCTGCTGCGGCTGCTGCCTCTGCAGCCGCTGGCGGCCCTGCCGACTTCCGCCGCACTCCAAAGTGTCATCCTCCAGACTGCATGTATCGTCGGCCCTTGGAGAGCTGCTGCTGGGGCCCCGGTGGCAGCTGTCGGGGCCCTTGTCTTGGGGCTGCAGCAAATTAAGAGTGCTGGGGGACCCCTTGAGGCGAGGCAGCCTGCGCACGCAGGGGGGCCTCTCCTTCCTGTAGCCGCCGGCGAACAGCAGCGAGCTGAATGCTGTTTCTAGTTGCGCCTCGTGTGCAGCAGGAGGCGGGGCTCTCAGCAGGGCTGCTGTTGCTGCAGCAACACCAGCAGCACAAGCCAACACGAATTCTACCAGCAGGTGGGGGCCCTCTTGTTGCTGCCGTTGAGAAAGCAGCGGGGCACACGAAGACTTCTCAGGATTCTCTTGCTGGCTGCTGCTGGAGTTGCTGTTGCTGCTTCGGCTGCTGCTGCTGTGCGGCTCAAGTAGTGCCTCGTGGGGAATAGAAGTTGCTGGTGCAGGTCTTGGGGCAGCCTCGGCTTCCTTGTAAAAAGCGGTGTAGCTTCGTTTCTTGCTGCAAGGTTGTTCTTGCTCAGCAGCGGCAGCAGCAGCAGCAGCTGCTGCTGCTGGCGGCATCGCCCACTGCTGGCCTAAGCAGTAGACTCTGAAGCCCCACAGAGAGCCCTTTGGCCTCAAACTAGAAGCAGCGGCTGTATTGGGCTTATCGCAGACAGTGAAGAAGAGGGTCAGGGCCTGGGCCTCCACCACGAGGGCCTCGCGGGGCCAGGGGGCCCTCGCAGCAGCAGTGCTGCTGGCTGGGGGGCCCTCTGGCTCTTCTTTGTTGGAGCCACTGAAAGGCCCAGCTACCAAACAATCTGTGGGGGCCTCTGAGGGCGCGCAGCTCCAAAGGCCCCGATAAACCTGCAGAGGCACACAGAGACGCCAGCAGCAAAGACTGGACCCAGCAGCAGCAGCAGCAAAAGGGCAACCCGAAGACCCCAAGCACGAAGAAGGCGCAGAGGCAGCCGCAGGCAAACGCGCTGACGCAGATGGAGACACAAACAAACTAGCGGCGCTGCAGCACCGCAGCAGCCACTGCAGCAGTCACTGCACCAGCCACTATAGTAGTCAGTTGCAGCAGCCACTGCAGCAATAGAATCAGCAGCAACTGCAGCAGCAGCGAAGGCGACAAAAGGAGATGATGCAAAGGCAATGGGAGGTAAAAGGGGCAGCAAGAGGCGTAGAGACTCAGACAAATGCGAAAGCCATACGCTGCGGAAGCCATATCCACCTAAAGAGGCAAAAATAGTAAAAGTCACTTTTAAAGACCCCCGAATACAAGTTCATGACTTCGCCATGCAGCGCTACAGCCCAGGAGAGTGGGAGCAGCAGCAGCAGCAGCAGCGGCAGAGGCAGCAGCAACAGGAACAGGAGCACCAGCAGCCCCAACAAGTAATAGAGACACGCGCAAGGGAACGAGAGAAATGCCGTGCAGCTGAACGAACTGTGAGAACATCTTGAGAGCCTTCGGTCTCGGACTTCGGGTCAAAGAGGAGTACTATGTGCGACGCAGCAGGGAAAGAAACCTGGTGTGCGTAGAAGAAGTGCTGCTGCTGCTGCTGCTGCTGCGATAGCTTAACGCCCTTGCTGCTGGCCCACGCTGCTGCTGCCTCCTCAGCACCTGCTGCGTGCAGCCGTGAGTATGGGTGGGGCGTCTCCACAACTCGCAGTGACGGGTGGAGGGGAGGGTAGGGGAGGAAGCCTGCAGGAGTAGCAGCAAAGGCAGCAACAGCAGCTGCTGCTGCCCCTGCTGCAGCATTTTCGCAAGCCAGCGAGCGGCTTGTAAGGCCGAGGGATCTGGAAGAAGCATAAGTGAGACCTTAAGGCTTCGCCAGACTTTGGGTGACGGCCGTGAGTTTCTGAGGGACCTGTTGCTTACCTGGCTGGCCACTGTGCTGCTCTTCCAGCGCCGCATCCTGCTGTAGCTGTTGCTTCGCTTGCTGCAGTTGGAGCAGTTTGCTGCTGCTGCAGCCGCTGCTGCTGAGTGCCTCTACTAGCTGCTGCAGCGGACGGTGTGCATGCACTGCAGCATCCGCAGCCAACAGCAGCGCGTAGAGTTCTGCTGCAGCGTTCTGCTGCAGCTTGCCCATCCAAGGGCGGCCAGCAACAACAGCAAGTCCGTAGCAGAGCGGTATAGCAACGTAGTCCAAAAGGGTCCCCTCTAAGTTAGGCACTCCACTGCAGCAGGAGTTCTGTTCTTGGTGCTGCTGCTTGTGATGGTGGTGGTGGTGGTGCTGCTGCTGCTGCAGCACCTGCACTCGCTCTCCGGCTTCTCTGATAGCTTCCAGGCAGGGCTTCAGGGCAGCAGCAAGCGCAGCAACAAACCGCTGCAGCTGCTGCACTGGGAGGCTGTATTGGCTGCTGCACAGGGCGGCAGCGAACAGAAGTCTCATGGCGATCCGCTGCAGCAGCAAACAAGCGCTTCGTCCTGTCCCCTCGCTAACAAAACGGTGGTCGCGAGGGCTCCACGGTGCCAGCCCCGGCAGAGCAGGAGCAGCAGCTGCTGCTGCTGCTGGTGCTTCTTCTCTTGCTGCTGCACGAACTGTGGGGGTGGGCATGCCAGTTTTGCGCTTCTTTGCTGTAGCAGCTGCAGCAGCAGGGGCTGTCGCTTTGTTGCGTCGGTCTTGGCGCGGACTTGAAGGCCTGGCGTTGTTAGCTGTACAAGCACTTGCTGCAGCAGCTGCAGCAACGGCAGCAGCTGCGGCTGCCGGGGCTACAGCAGGAGACACCAGAGGCGGCGATGTAGCCTTACTTGCGTGCTGGCTCTCCTGGGAAGAATAAGCATGATTGTTTGCTGCAGCTGCAGATGAAGACGGCATAACTGCGGCAGCAGCCTGGGCAGCAGCAACTCCGCCGTTTGCTGCTGCTTCAACAACACCGACTGCATGCTGAGACGTCGGTGCGCTTCTTTCTCTTTTACGGGTCAAGACACTCTCCGTGACAGCGGAAGATGGGCGGCCATCGTTTGGAGCTTTGTTGCTGCTGTTCCTGGTGCTGCTGCTGCTGCTGCTGCTGCACACACTTTCCCCGTGTGAATTAACAGGCCGGTCGTTTCCTTCCTCTGCCCCGTACGACGCATCAGCAGCAGCTCTAGCAGCGGAAGCAGCAGCAGCAGCAGAAACAGCCTTTCTTGCAGTGGGTGACATCAGGCAGACCCGGTGCTGCAGCAAGTGTTGCTGCCCCACGTGCAGCAAAAGGCGAAGCATCGAGCGGGAGCACCTAAACCCGTTCTGCTGGTCTCGCTTCACTTCAAGTGGATTCTCTTCGCGAGCTGCCCCTGCTGTTCTGCTGCAAGTGTCACCAGCCCTGACAGCAGCAGCAGCAGCTGCTGCTGCTGCTGGAGGCACGTTGCTGCGTGCACTCGAGGCCCCTGGAGCTGCTGCTTCTGCTGCAGATACTTCTGTACCCAGCGTCTGCATGATGGGCCTAGAGAAGGCTGCAGCAGAACTCAGGGGGTCTCGTGATTGGGGGCTGCCAAGATTTAGCTGCTGCCCCTGGGTGTTTCCATTTGTAAGAAGTGTCGGGGCTGCCTGTGCCTCACTTTGGGCTTCGCCTTGCAGTTGCTGGCTGCTGCTGGGCGGCTGGTGTTGACTCTGGGGTGGCGCTGCGCTGCCGCCGCTGCTGCTGCTGCTGCTGCTGCTGCTGCTGCTGCAGAGCAGCACCTGCTGGCCAGGGACTGCTGGCGTCGACTCCGAGTTCGACTTTAGGGTCCCCTCAAAGGACCTGGGGGGCCTAAATGGCAAGTGTAGGTCCGGCAGTTCGTCTAGCCGCTGCAGAAGCTGCTTCAGAAACGACTTGCTGCCTCCATTAGCAGTAAATATCTCTACCAAGATCTGCTCGCGTCTCGCACGCCGCAAGGCCTCACTTCTGCTTCTGTTGTCCTTGCTGCTGCTGCTGCTGCTGCCGCTGCTGCTGCTGCTGGCAGCAGTATCCGGATAAAGCAATGCCGGCGGCTCCTCAGGCGCTTCCCAGAAGAAACGTTTATCTCTCTGAAAAGAAACACACAGAGAAGCAGCAACAGCCACAACTAATAAAACTGCTAGGGCTAGCCCCGCAGAGCTGAGGGCCTCGAGCAGGCGGCTCACCAGGCCCTGGCGGACAGCAGCCTCTATGGCTTCCCCGAAGACGCAGCACTTCAGAGCTACGGGGCCCTCCAGCAAGAGAGGATGCCTCTGCAGCTCGTCATCGCAAATCCACCGGAGCTTCTTCGTAGTCCATTTCAGGGCTCGCCGCTGGCTCTCGCTGCTGCTGCTGCTGCTGCTGCTGCTGTTAGTGGCAGCGTGCGGCTGCTGCGGGTGGTGCTCTCCGTCTTCTGCCTTTCCTGAACTGTCGGGAGATGCTCCGTCTGGAGAAGCTGGCTCTGCTGTTGCAGCGGCTGCTGCACCAGATGCTGCAGCAGCTGCTGCCTCCTCTGGGTCGAGGAGGCCTCCCAGCCCCAGCAGCAAATCGTCCACGTGTCTGTAGATGTGGGCCCGTCTTTGAAGATACTTCTCTACGCGCTTTGTCGTGAGGTCTGACTGCTGCGCTGCGTACTTGGCAGCAAAAGAGGCGATAGGCGCGGACCGGCAGCAGCAGCGCGACACTTCAAGAGCAGCAAACAGCTCCTCATCGTAGTGCTTCAGCTTCTCCAGCTCTGCTGGAGTGTACAGCGACGCAGCTGCTGCAGCCGCTGCAGCGGCAGTAGCCCTCTGCTGCGGAGGCTCTTCATCTGGGGCGCCTAGGGGAGGCCTTGCAGCGGCAGCTGAGGAGTCCCCCAGCGCCTGCTGTAGGGTCACCTGGCCTCCTGAGTTGGAGGTGACTTGTGTAGAGGCTTCTTGCAGCCCCCATGTGCCGTAGGAGTGCCTCTGAGGCTCTCGAGTTCCCCCTGCGGGCTGTTGGGGGCCAGCAGTGGCCCCCTGGAGCCCCCCTGTGGAGCGTGCCGCTGCAGACGAGGGGACCTCCATTTCGCTTGTTAGGACATGTCTTCTTGGCTTGCTGGGCTTTGTCAGCTAGCCGAGGGCAGTGGGCATTACGGCGTGTGAAAGAAGGGCGGCGACGGCGCCTCCTAGCCAGCTGCCTTGCAGCGCCCAAGGCCAGCGCACGAAGCGACTGGGCGCCCCAAAAATGCAGCCACGAGGACCCCTAGACGTCGCCGCGGGGGCAAAAAATAATGCATTCGCATTAGCGAAGGTTTGATATGCGGGGAGGCCCCCTTGAGGTTCGGCTGTGAAGCAGACAGGCGAACAAAGCCCAGCGACAGGACCACGCGGCAGTCTACGGGCGTCCTGGGGAAATCTCAAGGGCTCATTACTAAAGCTTTGGTCGCTTGGGAATTAAACGGTCATGTTTTGTCTTGATTTGCTTTCAATGGAAGAAAGGAGCATAAGGAACACGAGAGGCCAACGAGAAGGGCTCTGGCCCCTCCCGCCCAGACACCACCAGTGGACACCGCCGACTGCCGAGGAGCTCGCAGACTCTATGGTGGTAAACTGATACGTTAGGTTCACAAGAGTTAATTTTTCAATTTACTGATGCCGTGAAGACTCAAAGAGGCCTCCAACGCTCACGAGGCTTCTGCTTCGCAGCCGCGGCAGCTGCAGGTTCGCCACTCACCAGACAGCCATCACGAGCAGCACGGAGCGGGGGAGGTCACTTTCCCCTTGAGATGAGTGTTAAAGACGGAAAAGAGGGGTCAATATACTAAAAACCATTTATTTCAACTTAAAACCTTCCGACTTGGGAATATGATGGACTGAATGCCCGGTAGAGCAAAAGAGCAGACATAGCACTCACGCCGAAACGCCATATGCAGCAGACTTGCCCGCTTCCCATTGCACATTGCACATGCGCAGACACTTTTGTCCTTTCAACGGTATTTATTAAAAATCAGACGAGTTTCATTCGCTCTTTGGCCAGAGAAGAGTCATTTTCCCGGTATTTCAGTGGCTAGGAAGGCGCCCGAATGATGAATCAAGCACTGGCAGCTTCGTCATTTTTGGATACTCTGCCTTAGACTGGGGGTTAACGAAATATCAGCTCGATGAGGTCCCATTTTCTAATCTGCACCAAATCAGATCGGTGTAAGGGAGCCCATGCATCTGTTTTCCGCAGCCTGTATGCTCAGACAGCTCTTTAGTTTATTCCGTCCACTTTCATCGGCCCAGCCGATCTCCTGCATATTGGCTCGTATTACTTGTCCATTGGAAAATGATGGCAATGTCGTTCCAGAGAGGCAGTGAATACTGCTGAATATAAATATTCCCTGGATAAGCAGTCGAGCCAATCCAGATCCCCGCAGAATGTCAGCAGCAGCTAGCTACAGTTCTCCATGGCTACTGGCAGATATTTCTCGCCTGGCGTAGCGCAGCCTTTCTGAACTAGGGCTACAAGCTATCGCAGTGCAGTAGTGGCTAGCTCCCCAACCACTTTATGCCCATTTCTAGCCACCTCCAGCCAACTTCAGAGGAGCCCACGGCGTCCTGGTGCAAACTTTCAATGCGCAACACAGTGCGCAGTTGCTTCTGTGGACTTGCCTGCAACTTGTACTGCTTTCTGAGTTTCTCCCTCCAGCTACCTCTGGAGGTGTTCCTTTATGTGCCTCTCCTGGCTTCGCTCTGCTGCTCTAATTCCCCCTCCTGTGCCTTGCAGTATATTCTGTTTCTCCTTGCGTCTGGGTGCATTTGCGAGTCGCTGTTGAATCGGTCAAACAGCAAACATAAGAAAGAAATCAGTTTCTGTTTTTTAACAATTTGCATTCAATCCCCACGCGAGGGGGAGAGCCAGAAAAAGCCCTAGCGTTGTTGGCTCTAGCCCTTACACGCCATTCCCTAGGGTCTCAGTGATCCCTGTACTGCTAAGGCTACAAGACTAGCAGCCATATATGTATGGTCTTATAAAGATTCACGGATAATCAGTATAGGCCTTTCCGTATAAGGGGCCCCCGAGACGCGCAAAGGGAACCCCCGGCGATCTCGCCTGCGAGCCATCTCAGGAGTAGCCACAAGACAGGGGGGTGTGCAGCTTTTGCTGCTGCTGTTGCTGCTTACGTTTGTGCCATTGCTGCTGCTGCAGAGAGCTGCGGAGAACTGCAGCGACTGCTGCTCCCAAGCACGCGGACACTGGGCTGCTGCGCCTCGTCGTAATTAGTCGAAGTAAAAGACCTAGTAACAAATTGTTTGCTGCAGTTGGCACTGCTGCTGCTGCTGCTGCTTATCGGCGTGTTGCTGCGCCTCGAACGGCTGCCTTGCCTGCAGGAGGCAAATAGGGCTAAAGCTGTCTCACCAGCCCTGCTGCTGCAGCAGGTGTTTCTGCTTCTGAGGCCCTGCTGCGCTGCGCCTCAGCGGCAGCAGCAGAGGCGGCAGCAGCAGCTGGCGGCCTAGACCGTCTTTTTGCGTCTCTGTCGGCCTGCAGATCCTCTGTAGTAAACCAGAAAAAAGATTTGGCCGATCCAGTAGAAGCTAATGAAGCAAACCGTGAGCGCCATCGCCTTCACAAGCAGCGGCGTGCGCGCAGACACACAAGTGGCTGCAGTCACGGCGGGGGCCACAAGTGCGCGGGCTGAAATGAAGGTGAATACAAACAGCAGCTCTGCTGCTCTATTCAGCAGGACAAACGAGAGGCCCCAGATGCCTGGCGGCACCTGAACACAGGCAGGGGGGGCCCCCCGGGGGCCCCTGGAGGCGGCCTCAGGGGGGCCCCTGGGCGCCGCGGCTGAAGGATCTGCCTCGGGAGTGGCTGCAGCACTCTGCCCGTCCGGGCTATCTTCAGTTTCCCCCCCGCTGGGGGCCCCGTTCGATGCTGGGGACTCCCCCGCAGACTCGAAGTCCTTCTGGGGGGCCCCCTGCTTGGCCTCTGCTGCCAGCGTGCAGTAGTGCCTTGCGAAGTAACGCAGGTGGAGGAGAGGCGTGCTGCACTCCCCCACTGTGAGCCCTGCAACTATATCAGCGGAGGCTACGCCGCGGGAGAAGCTGGTGACGAAAGCAGCAACAGCACCCACGTGGTGCAAAGTGGTGGCTACGTCGCGTTCTATGCAGACGTACACGAAGTCGTACACGAAAAAGGCAAAGGAATACAGCAGCAGCGGCCGCTGCAGCGCAGAAACGGGGCTCCCGAAGTACGGCTGGGCTCCCGGGACTACTGGGGCCCCCAGGGACCCCAGGGCCCGGCCAAAGGCCCCCTCTCTATATAGAACAGCGAAGCCCCAGAGGAAGGCGACCAAGCTGTGCAGAATGCAGCAGAGCCTGTTGGCGCCGTGGCGCGGCCAACCCCCTTGCTGCAGCAGCGGGAAATGCCGCTGCAGCGCCGGCCGGCGCACCAGCTGCAGCAGAAGCCACACGCCCAAGTGCGCCAAACAAAAGAAAGGCAGCACAAGCAGGCAGTCCCAACTGAACGCCTCAAGACGGGGGAGGTCACCTGTGGCGAGACTGCCCAGCAACGCGGCAAGAACCGGAGAACTCATGGCCGCTAGACAATCAAATAGATCTAAGGGAAGAAATGAGTTGAAAAAATACGCCGTTTTGTGCTGTCTGCATTGAAAACGTCGGAGATCGCACGAAAGTTACAGTGAACGCAGACAACCAGCAAGAGGAGGACACGAGAGGTAGAGAGAGCCCCACGGAAATCTTCAGGGAGAAGATTTTGCAATAGGTGGGGAAAACTGTGATGGAAAACTGTTTTGCAGCAAAAGCAGCGAAGTGCAGAGCCACCGAGGATTCCAACACCGGAGGAACCAGGAAAGCAGCAGCAGCAGCAGCAGGAGCGGCAAGAACGCCAACAGCAGCTGCAGCACTGGCAGAGGGCAAATTTTCTAGACACCTCAGACACCTGCCTTCGACCTTTCGGTCAGATCTCCGCAACCTGAACTCTATGAATTGCCCTGCGATGGCAGTGCTGGTGCTTTCAATGCAGCAGCTGCAGCATTTTCGGAGCCCCACACAGCGGAGGCCCCTGAGGGGCCCCCGGGGGCTACAGGGCCTTGGGCCTCCACGCACCATTCGTGTTGCATTTTAAACACTGAAACTTAGACCTTATAATGGGCAGCAGCGCGGAAGGCTTCGGCACAAGGTATGTGGATGGCTGTTAAAAGGGAAGGAAGCAGCAATACTGCTCCGTTCTCTACTGCGCCCACTTGCCTTGGCTTTTTGCCTCGCTTTGCCTCTTGTTTGCGCTCTTTAGATTATTTTTATCTTTTCAATGGCAGGAGTTTACCTGAAAGGTTTTTCAAGGCGCCTCTAGCACTGAATAGTGGGGGAACTCTCTTTCGAGCCCAAGCCCATGGCCCTATGCCTCAGCAGAATACAGCTGAACAATAGTCAGGCCCCGAATCCTGCCACTTGTTAATTATGCTTTAGAAAGAAAAAGAGAAAGTAGATGGAGAAGGCGGTCAATGCACTACTAAAATGGAGGTGAAGTCGAAGGCCCCCACACAGCTGCTCGACGTGTCTTTGTTGGAAGATGATGGCCCTCAGGTATGCATGAGCTGCAGCTGCTGCTGCGGCCTGAGCTGTGGCTGTTGCCGTCGTCGCAGCATTTGCAGCAGCTGCTGCATTCTGCTGCGCCTTCCGTTTGCTGTTTCAAGTTGTTGCTATTCTCGTGCTTGCTGCTGCTGCGTGCCTTCGCGGTCTACAGCTGTTGCTGTTAGCAGCAGAGATCCTTCCCGTGCTGCTGTTTGTGTTGTTGTTTCGGCTCATGCTGCCGCTGCTCTTGCTGCTGCTGTTTTTGCTGCTGCTGCTGCCCCATCAGGATGCAGGGGAAGGCAGCAATCAGATGCTGCTGATGCCCCGAAAACGCAAAGAAAAGAAATCTGGAAGTCTGGGGAATCAAAATGAGGCGCAGAAAGACACAAAGAAAGGCAGCAACAGGAAGCAGAGGAAGCTGAAGCAGCTGCTGGTGCGTCTGCTGCCTTGTGAAGGGCAGCATGGCCGAGTGACGTGGCAGCGTTTGTGGTTTGCTGCTGCTGCTCCTCCCGTGCTGCTGCTACCTGCTGTTGATGCTGCTGCAACGGTGCTGCTGCTGCTGCTGCTGCAGAAAAAGCATAAGGAAAGGGATGTCAGGGCTGCGCTGCACGAGGAGCTGCAGAAGTATGATATGAGAGCAGGCGAGTCCCGCATGAAGTGAAGCTGCAGCAGCAGCAACAAAGTAATGCTGCTGCTGGCGAGAGTGTCTGTGGAGAAGAAGCAGCAACTTCCGATCCTGCTTTTAAAAGAATTATATGTTCGAATTCGGGCATTTATATTATATTCTAAACAAGTTCTTCAGGATGTTAAAAATACAATTATATTAAGAAATCCCACTTGTTTTGCCCCTGTCCGCTGTTCGCTGCTGCAGTGCTGGAGCAGCAGGAGGGCGCCGCTGCAGCAGGAACTGATGTTGCAACAAAGGCAGCAGGCGCAGCGGGCGATGCTGCTGCAGCGGAGCCCACAGCGGCAGCTGCTGACAATGAACAGGCACAGCTAGCCAAGACAATGCTGCTGCTAGGTCGAGGCTCGCTGCTGACAGGAGTCAAGGGCCGCCGGCTGCAGAAGAAGGCCCGCAAGGCGCTGATGCTGCAGCAAGAGATGCAGCGGAGGCAGCAGCGGCTGCAGCAGCAGCGCCAGGATACACAGCAGCAGCAGCAGAAGCAGCAAAATGAGGCGCGGAAACAGAGTTGTGACAACACGGGAGGAACGGAGCGCACGCAACAAGATAAAGAAAAGCAGCAAGAGAAGCAGCAGCACGAAGAAGTTTCTTCTGCTTACAGTGAGGCCAAAGAACGAGAGGGCGAAAGTTCCCAAGGGCCGGTTCAGCAGCAGCAGCAACATGAGAAGACGCAGCAACAGCAGCAGCAAAAGACTGGCACTGGGGCTGGGCAGCCGGGAGATGGTGGTTTGAGTAATGAGCTAGAAAACGACACGGCGTCCACTCCCAAGGGCCGGTTCAGCAGCAGCAGCAACATGAGAAGACGCAGCAACAGCAGCAGCAAAAGACTGGCACTGGGGCTGGGCAGCCGGGAGATGGTGGTTTGAGTAATGAGCTAGAAAACGACACGGCGTCCACTGCCGCCAGCAGCAGCAGCAGCAGCAGCAGCGGCGGCCAGAGCGCTGAGCGTATGGCGGCCTCTCTCGAAACAAAGCGCGCAGCTGCAGCGAATGCTGCAGCAGGTACTGCTTGCCGGGGGAATCGCAATCGCCTTCCGAGAATTTCCTACTCTCCGGAGGCAGCAGCAGCCTGTCTTCACCGCTCCCCTGAATTTGAACAGTCAAGAGCTGCCTTGCCTGCTGCTGAGGCAGAGGGGCGCGTGCTGTCTTTCCTGCTGCAGCAGGAACACCCCCTGGTAGAGGAGGCTGAGGAGTGCAGCAGCAGCTCCGACGAGGAGGCTCGCGCAGCGCAAACGGGGGCCGCAGCTGCAGCTGGTGGGGCTTCTAGAAGAAGAAAAAGGAAAAAGACTTTGGACCTCGCTGGCCGGCGCCACGCAGACATCCTCTGCATCTCGGGCGCAACGGGCTCGGGCAAAAGCACGCAAGTGAGCCCCCCAAAGCACACAGCTTTTCCTGGGGGCTTGTGGTGGCCGCAAAAGGGGCCGCTGTGTGGGTTTCAGAGGTTTAATAGACTATTGTTGGCCTTGTGATTCTGGGGTGCCCTAAATGGGCTTGCCTGTAGGTCAGCTGTGGGCGTCCAGGGGGCTCTTAGGGGAGCACACGCGTTAAGGGCGGATGCTAGGGCTTGTATACTATTTTTGCTTCATTTGAGCAGCTTCCGACCATTCACTTCTCATCATGTTCGGTTGCGTGCCTGTTGTGTGTCTCGTCGTTTGTTCAGATCCCTCAATTCGTATTTGAGTCGGGAATTTGCTACCCTCAAATGCTCTTTTCAAAGAAGTGCGAGGCTGCTCTCCAGCTGCTGGAGGAACAGGCCAGCGCGGCGGAATCCGCCGTATCTCCTGCTTCAGCTGCCAATGCAGCTGCTGTTGCTGGCGGCGAGAATGAAGGCCCTGCAGCCGACGCACCAGTTTCAGCTGCAGCGGCAGCAGCAGCCGCCAAGCCTGGGTCGCTCTCAGTAGAGGCGACAAAGGAGGGAATCGTTGTAAAAAGACAAATGTCCGTTTGCATCACGCAGCCACGGAGGGTTGCTGCTGTGTCCTTGGCCCGAAGAGTTGCTGAGGAGATGGGCTCTCCCGAGCTCGTAGGCTATCAGGTACGTCCTGAGTCACTACGTTGGTCTTTGTTCACATTTATATACCTGCTTTTACGTATCTGGGCCTCGACAAGGTTGTCTTTGCTTTTCATGATCTTCGATGTGCAAGTCATCTCGCCATGCGTTTCTGCCCGCTTACAAGCCTCCTGAGTCTGTGTCTCTACATTTTCATGCTTAACCCAGAGCCTTATTTCAAAGCAAGTGAAGGATCGCGAGTTCATTGTACGACTTCCCCTGAAACATCGGCAAAGGAATATATATATGGAGCTCCCAGAAATGGCGCCTGGCAATCATTTGTGTGTTTACTTGCTTTATTTTATACAAGTTCTGTCGCTTCCTCAGGTGCGCCATGACAGACACAATGTTGGCCCTCACTGCCGTCTCAAGTTTGCAACTGACGGGATTCTCTTGAGAGAAATACAGGATGACTTCCTCCTGAGGTAAAGTGCACTGTGACCTCAACATTCTGCAGGAATGCCCCGCAGTGGCATTGTGCCCATTCCCATTAATAATAATCTGCGGGGTTTTGTATAACCCGCGGAGCCTAAAAGTGCCCCTGGGCCAAAGGCGCCTCTTCTAGCTTCTCCTTTCCTGATATTCTTGAGGGCAGGGTTCCATGCGGGCAATCAGCTTAGCGAGGAGGCCCTGGTGGGTTTCAGATAGAGGGGGGTCTTCCTTTGAGCATGCCGTTAGTCCTGATGGTGGGGCTGCTAGCTTGCGTGTGCAGATCTTGTCTCTAAAGCCTCATGCTACCTAGGCGCCGGTAGTCTTGTGTGTTTTTTTTAGTTTTATTGCTGCTGATGCTGCTTTTGGGTTTACAGGAAGTACTGTTGCATCATCGTGGACGAAGCCCACGAGAGGAGCATCAATGTGGACTTGTTACTAGGGCTTGTGTCCCGAGTTGTTGTGATGAGAAGGGAAAGGTTTGAAAAAGGCAAAGACACCCTGCCGCCACTCAAGTCAGCTCGCGCACAAACATCTTAAAAATGAAAAACATGCAGCAAAAAGGCTGCATTTGATCGTTTTAGTCTTTGCTGCGTCTTCGTTGTTCTACTCCTTTATGTGCCGCGAGCATATCTGTGTGTCCGCACTGTTGCTCGTTTGGAAGCCGTTTCTACTCCCGTGATTAGCTTTTCTTTTATTCTTTAAAAGTCCATGGATTCGGATTGCCGGTGGAGTGTCCCTGCGTGCGGGTTCTTCTTGTTGGGTTGCAGGGTGCTTGTGATGTCTGCTACTTTGAAAGCTACGGATTTTACCGAAAATTCCCATTTGTTTACTCCGCCTCCG